GTCATATACACTGCATGGGGATAGGAAAAGTATAGAGTCAGGAGCTTCATAGTAGGGATGGAGCTGAGTAGGTCATCGAGCGGAAGCGCTGCAGCCGCGCTCTGGGTCACCTATAGTGTTTGACAGCTGTCCGCATCTGTATTTTTTGGATGGATCGGATGGGGGGTGCAGGCTCTGGATATGCCTGCCGGCCCTGCCGGACCTGAAGGACAGCTGCAGCGAAACCTAGAATGCAGCTTATAGCGGTACCGCTGCAACCGCATTCTGCATCTAGTACCATACGCACACCTAATTCAAATAAACAGGTGCCAGAATGACCTGCTGCTGATGGGCATAGGGCTAAATACGAACAGGTCGGATGGGGGCGTAAGTTCTTGCCGAGACTGCCGGCGCACGACTTGGAAGAGATACTCCGTTCTTCAGCGAATCTAACACCCATACAGTCAAATGATGCTGCGTTCATATGAGTTCGTTTCCACAGCCATAAATGTCACACAAGGCTGAGATAGTCAAAACTGCCGCAGCAGTGACATTTTATTCATGATCGATGTAAAAGTACAGGGGGAGCGGGGGTGATTGAGCAAGATGAATCGTGAGTACAGCAATTAATGGTGAAGAGAACGTAAAGTAAGCGTGATGAGCATGAGGTCCATATGTGATACTAGAGTCCATGAGGCATATGTACAGCAAGAAGATATGAGCAAAATCAGAAAGTAACAAAAAAAAAAAGACGAGAACAAGCCCTAGCCAACGACAAAGTCCGAAGTCACGAGAGGCGATGCCGGACGTGCCGCGCCTGCCGACGATGAAGAGGGCCTACTTGGCCGACCTCGCCTTTTTCGTGCCGGCAGCCACAGGTGAAGGCTCACCCTCTTCCGCGTCCTTGCCGCGCTTGCGCTTCTTCGTAGCGTCTGGGGCAGGACTCGGCTCCTGGGGGGGCCCACGACGAGTCTGGCGGTCCGTCGGAAGAGCCGTAACCTTCTTCCGACCCTTCTTCTGCGGGCTGGCGAGCTCGGCATCCTCGGGCTCGTCTTCCTCGGGCTCAGGCTCGTTGCGGTTGCTAGTACCGGAGCCCTTGACCGCGTCAGCTGCGTCGGGGCCGTCCTTTGCGACGGTGTCCGCGCCCTTCTTTGTGGCCGCGGGCTTGGTACCCTTCTTGCCACCCACAAGCTGAGGAAGAGGGAGAAGACCGCCCTCTTCGTTGTCGTCCTCAGCAGCTGCCGGCTGAGGCGGGGGCGTGCGCGAGGGGGTCGACTCACGAGTGACAGGGCTCAACAGGGAGGTCACCGCCGGGGTGATTGAACGCCCGGGTGTCTGGACCGGAGTCGAAGGCGGTGGCGTGGGCTTCTGCACATCAACTGCAGGGGGCGTAGGCTGGGGAGTTGAGGGCCTGCCGTCATTGCCGCTCTTGCCATCCGTGCCAGCTGTGCCGTCCTTGCCGTCCGTGCCGTTTGTGCCATCCGTGCCGTCCGTGCCAGGCGCCGTGACCTCCTCCTGAGGGGCTTGTTCCGGGTGTGGTTGGCTGGTCCCAGCATCATTCACATGAGCGGGTGAGGGCGCGGGGGCGTCGGGATCGAGAGTGGAGCCACCACCAGTAGCCGAGGGCCCGACCGAAGTCCCCGAATCCACGTCCATCTTCTCCTGCGTCTCGATGGCGGCCGCCGGGGGGGGCGCGGCAGCCGGCACCTTCGCGACGTCAGCCGTCGAAGGAGGGACGGTGTTGGCGGATGTCGAAGTGGGAGCAGGGTTGGCGGGGGATGTCGCAGCAGACGAGGTGGCTGCCGGCGAGGGCGAGCGGTGCGCCAGCCCCTGAAGAGCTACCGTCTGCTCCCGAGAATGCTTGGACGAGTTGGCCAGCTGATCGACCTCTAGCGACTCGGGTTTGTCGTGCGTAGACGAAGTCGCAGTGCCAGCCGCCGTGCCGGCAGCATCGGCCTCGGCGGCCTCGGCGGCCAGCTCGGCCAGCTCAGAGCCAACGTCGGCAGTCTTCTTGCGAATCGCCTTGTTGAGACCGTCCGCGCGGCGAGATGCGCCCCCCAAGCCCGCCTGGGGAATAGCCGTCTTGTTCGGCTTACGCGCCGCATTCTTGCCGGACGTGCCAGCGGTGCCGGCCTTGCCGGCCTTGCCGGCACCCTTGCCCTTCCTGCCCTCATCCTCCACCTCAACGTCCATGTGGTCGTCCTCATCTGCGTCAGCGTCCTCCTCCGAGTCAGCAAGAGCGTCCTCGTCCAAGTCGGCGTCAGCATCCTCGTCCGAGTCACCGTCGGCATCTTCATCCTCCTCCTCTTCCTCCGCCTCGTTGGCCTCGGCGTCCATGCGTTCGGCGTTCTTGCACAGCTTCCGGAGCGCCTCTGCTTCCTCCTTGTCGATGGAGCCGATGGACATGTCGAAGCACGCCTG